TAAATAATTAAATGTTCTCAATTTACTCAGAGGCTGGGAAAGAACCTAGCTCTTGTGCATTATGGTTGGCAAGTTATGCCTCTAAGTTTCCTGGTAGTTAGCTTTTTCTCTACAAAGTAATTTTTGCCAGAGAGACTCCTCAATTGCCACAATGAATATTACTATGGACACTTGATTCATTAGGCACCTTTCATGACCTCTGACCTTGTGGTGACATCATAGTCTGTGATCCAATTCTGATAACAAAACATATTGAAGCCGTTTTCTCAGTTGATAAATGATTGACTAGCAGTTTCAAAACATCATGGTTTGTTATTATATAATAATTTCTGTAGAGTTATGGCTATAACACATGCGAGGTTAATCAATAGTTTGATCAATAACTCCTCATTATGACAATCTCTGGACTGGGGGCAACTACTAAATAAACAGGGCAGGGTTGCAGATGGTTGGTATTTTATAGGCAGGTATGGTATGCCCTCATGTGGTTAAATATTTATTTAACCTTTATTTAACTAGGCAAGTCAGTTAAGAACAAATTCTTATTTACAATGACAGCCTACACCAGCCAAACACGGACGACACTGGGCCAATTTTGCGCCGCCCTATGGGACTCACAATCACGGCCGGTTGCGATACAGCCTGGAATCAAACCAGGGGGTCTGTAGTGACGCCTCAAGCACTGAGATGCAGTGTTATAGACCGCTGCGCCACTCGGGAGCCCATATCAGAATGCACCAAGGAAAAGTTGAGCTAATAGTGGCAGAGCAATATCCTGGGGTGTATATTCTTCACTAGAAACCAAGAAGAATCAACCGGGGTGACGTTTCACAACGTTTGGCTACGGAACGTGGCCGTGTAGTCCCACCTCATATAGTTGACAGCATGTTCCATAACGTTTGGCTACGGAACGTGGCCGTGTAGTCCCACCTCATATAGTTGACAGCATGTTCCATAACGTTTGGCTACGGAACGTGGCCGTGTAGTCCCACCTCATATAGTTGACAGCATGTTCCATAACGTTTGGCTACGGAACGTGGCCGTGTAGTCCCACCTCATATAGGTGAACAGCATGTTCCATTTTGGCCGACTCTTGTCTCATTCCATACGTTGTGGGTGCGGCTGTAGTCATGTAGCCGACAGCATCAATAGGACAGCATGTCCTTGGCATGCTCCCGTAGTGTGCAAGAAAGCAAGCTGCAATAAAAATAAGAGAAATACAACATACAATTACCAAATGTATGTTTGATGAGGGAGCAGGGACAAGAGGCTATTAAAAATGAACACACTACCAAACATCTCAAGAAAATCGAGAGCTTGGGACTATGAGGTTCTATCAGCAATTTCTATTTATTGGTTGACACAGCCTTGTTCTGTTCAATATTTTAGTCATTTAGCAGACGCTCTTATCCAGAGCGACTTACAGAAGCAATTAGGGTTAAGTGCCTTGCTCAAGGGCACATGACATGATTTTTCACCGAGTCGGCTCGGGACTAGAACCAGTGACCTTTCGGTTACTGGCACAACACTCTTAACCACTAAGCTACCTGCCGCCCTGTACCTATCTAGTGCTCTAAATACCCTAATTCATATTGTTAAGTTCAAAAGAATACAAGATCAAAAATGACAGAAACCATTCAAACCAATGAGGGTTCGGAACTTTAAAGCCAGTTATCTCAGAATCATCTTTTTGAAGACAGAAAAGGCACAACCGAGATTCGAGCCAAAGTCTTAGGTAGTTGAAGATGTCATTACTACAATCTCCAGAATGTGAGTGGAGGAAAACTGACACGTTTTGATTTTCGTCAAAAACAAATTTACTCTATACCGAAGGAGAGCCTTTGATTTGAAGGCCTGGCCTCGGTTTCCTGATAGCTATGGAACTTAAGCTTACCAAAGACGTATGGGAGAGTGGGGTAAGTTGAGCCAAATTGGGTAAATTGAGCCACCTTTGTTTCTAGGAAACCATACATGTACACAACATTAATAATTTGACCAAATATTTAGGAAGAGGTCATCATTTCATGGAGGGTCAGTGCTATCTGGGATCCTTGGCACGTCGCTACCCTAAGCCCTAACCCTAACCTTAACCCTTACCCAACCCTAACCTTAACCCTTACCTTAACCATTTTAAACGTCAACTTCAATGGGGTAGGGACTTTCCAAGGATTCCAGATAGCACAGACCTTTCATGGAGTCTGTGAAGGAAGAAACCACATGGGAAAAGTGGTAAGCAAGTTAGGTCCAAAAACTGATTTTCACGAAGTCAAATGAATTTATTGTGTTGAGGTTTCATGATGCTTGTATCTAAACCAAAGTAGATCATTTTAAGGTTGTTCTATCATCAGTTTGGGTCTCTATAAGCTACATCCTTGTAGCTGTGTGGACTAATATATAAAAAATGTTTGCCTTGGGGTAAGTTGAGTCAATGGTTGAGCCAGTGGCAAGTTCATCAAATTGAAGTGTTTTCTTCCCAGGCATAATGCAAGGCGTTGTTGCTGGGATATGAGGTAACAACAGGGCCTGGCCTATGTTTAAAAAAATATGCTTACAATTATTTAAAGACAAAAAAAGCGATTGTGTGTTGAATTGAAATAAAGATAGACATGGTTTTAAAAAGTTGTGGTAATATTTCTTTCAGTACAAATATTTTTAGGCGGCTTAAATGACCCTGTCCTGCGGCTCAATTTACCACATATCTGTACCAAGAGGCCACTTGTTTGGAACAAGCTATGTTTTCAAAACTGCAATGTTTACATGAATTCTGATTATTTCCATGGATACACAACATCCTGAAACATGACTAGATATATTTGTAAGAAAGAATACTATAGTTCCCTTGAAGGAGTCTTGCTGAAATTAAAAAATCTCAATTTACCCTACTCTTCCCTAACACGCATTTCCCAAAACACCAGTCAGACAATAACAGTCAGTAGAGCATGTGTCGATACTGATAGGCTCGAAAGCAAGGGAGTGCTGCTTTCGGATCAGCTTTCTCCATTAAAATCATTAGAATTATTTCACAATTGCCTACTGATCAGCTCCTATTGGCTGCAAATATTGAGGCGGCTTATTCTAATGCTTACCCAATAAAAATGCACTAAATCACCGATTTGGCACATCATTGCTCACATGTTAGTCTACACATCATGAAATATATTGAGAGAAATTACAGACAGTAGCCTACAAGTAGCAAAATAGAACTCAATTGATTAACATGAAATGTATTTCAATATGATTGAAATAGGCCTATAGCCTACTGTTTATATTCAATGCAGTCATCTCGGTTTTCATTTAAAGCATCATTTTATACATCACTTGTTTGTATAAACTGCAAAGACATTGGCAACTTTGTAGGCTATTTGGAGCCAACTTCGTTCTGAAGTTATCGGCGGTCACAGAGAGACGGATAAACCATTTCATTCTGTTTAGCTGAAATCTGTGTATAAAGTGACGTGGAAGGTCAAAAAAGCATCTAACGACTCACTTATTTATTCTACGAGTGGTCTGAAGCAAGCATTAGACTACGAGCTTTTTCCATTGCAACGTTGATTTTGGGATGAATGAATGAAGCGAGGATGAATTTAGCCTAGAATTCTTTTGGGAAACCGCACCCTGAGCGAGGAAGAGGCGACGCGAGAGGCATGACTCCGCCACAAAATCTGTCCGCTCGAAAATACAGCGAGAAGCAGACGAAGTGGGGATTTTTTGTATGGAGGTCATGTTTTCTCTGATTCAACATGGTCAATCGGCGTTTATAAATCCACTGCATAGACTACAATGCTTTGATAAATAACGATGAATAACGTTCTATAAAAGAACGGCTGAACTTCCTTCTGTCACAATGCATTGCTGCATTATGACTTCATACATGTTCTCAAATCACCTGTTGAGGAGATGAGAGTGGAAACTCAGCGAGGTAGAAAATAGACCGTCAAGTGGTGTTTAGTGGGCAATAACAGAATCCCAACGTCTGACATTGAAACAAAATCCCTGTAAGTTTCTTGGATGATGAAGATGATGATGGTCTGCTCTTAAATATCTGACATCCTTGCATTATTTCAATACACTGACTATACCTACCTATAGTCCTATACAGTAAAGTTCTCATTGTTCTTCATTTTATTAGAGATTTATTATTCTCCTAAATTGATGGGATGACTAACTTAGAAAGAATGCATTCTTGACTGGGCTAATGTAGGTTGTGACACCTGGCAAGCTGTGATTGATGTGGAGAGCTGTTTTAGGGGGTAAAATTTGATAAGAATTTGTGTCTCCAAATGCTAGACTATACTGGTTCTTTGTGATCTGTGAACCATCCTTGGACGTAGGAATGGTGTCTAGGGGAGCTGGCTCTTCTCACTATGACAGGTTGTTATGATGAATGTATGCCTGGAAACAGGGATGCGCTAAGAGGCGGGGGACTAGCCTGTGCGCCAACGGATAGGCTGAGTAAGTCTAAACCACGCTCAAGTCTCTACTCTGATTGGCCAGCAGAGAGGTGGGAAACTCTCTCTGTAAGAGTACTTGAAGAACAATCTGAAACAATGGATTTAGTTCTCTGGAGTGCCCTGCGGGGTATTTCAAAGAGCCCGTATATACGAAACATCATATTTACCATTGAAGGTTTTTGCATTAATTAAAATAACTAGTATATCTTAGAAGTCGTGTTGACCTCTTTTGTTCCTAATGCCAGATTTGAATTGACACAACTTTGACAATTTGTAATTGAAGATTAACTTGGTGTAAATGGGAAAAGGAATGAGAAAAGGCATCATTGCTGATGCTGCAGTGGAGAAATACTTTGCTGACCTGAAAGCAAGCACATCTTACATCATTGGACTTTTAGTTGGACAGGTGATACATTTATGCCTACTGTATGTAAGGGGAAATGGTTCTTCTTTCTAATGTTAGGCTATGCAATGCAATATAAGTTTCAATATAATTTTAATTGTTCAACATTAGTTTTTATACAGGGGGAGATTGTGGTGCATGCGGTGATGACCCCACTAAAGGAGGACAATCCTGGTGGCCTGGTGAATGAGGATGACAAAGACTACATCCTAGATCACCCAGAACATGTGAGATTTATTGGAGAACATGCCTGAGAAATATGGAGGATATTTTTTTCTGAAACGATCTTAAGTTGTACTGTGGTGTCATAGCGTTATGATATTCAAGTGTCTATGGTTTGGTTAATGACTCCTGCATTTTTCCTTTTGGTAAAGCTGAACCGCATGGTGCCTGGAGGGCTGTCTGTGATGGGCATGTTTGTGGTCTCCCCGTCCCATCAGACCAAAGAGAGCCATATGAAAATGAGGCGGCTGAGGCAGGAATTTCTTCTTTGTCAAATGTCAAGCTTTTTTTTTTTCTTAATTCTCTTTCTTTACATGTTTTTTGGTTTGTTTGTCTAGCTAATAATTTATCCATTCGTCTGTATTCTGTCTGCATCTTCTCTGTTAGACTATGGTTGCTGTGGAAAACCGTGTATCCTAGGACAGGCTTTGGGGTTTCTCAGAGGAGGACACCAATGACAGAGTGCTGCTTCATATCTGCTCCAACACCAAAAAGTATCCTCTTACTCAGTCTGCACTGCTGATGACACACACACACACACAGACACACACACAGACACACATACATCCATACACACACAGACACACACATCCATACACGTAGACACACACACACATCCAAACACACAGACACACACACAGACACACACACATCCACACACGCAGACACACATGCAGACACACACGCAGACACACACACGCAGACACACACACAAAGACACACATGCAGACACACACGCAGACACACACTCAGACACACACAGACACACACACAGACACACATGCAGACACACACGCAGACACACACACAGACACACACGCAGACACACACGCACATACAGTGGGGGAAAAAAGTATTTAGTCAGCCACCAATTGTGCAAGTTCTCCCACTGAAAAAGATGAGAGAGGCCTGTAATTTTCATCATAGGTACACGTCAACTATGACAGACAAATTGAGGAAAAAAATTCCAGAAAATCACATTGTAGGATTTTTTATGAATTTATTTGCAAATTATGGTGGAAAATAAGTATTTGGTCACCTACAAACAAGCAAGATTTCTGGCTCTCATAGACCTGTAACTTCTTCTTTAAGAGGCTCCTCTGTCCTCCACTCGTTACCTGTATTAATGGCACCTGTTTGAACTTGTTATCAGTATAAAAGACACCTGTCCACAACCTCAAACAGTCACACTCCAAACTCCACTATGGCCAAGACCAAAGAGCTGTCAAAGGACACCAGAAACAAAATTGTAGACCTGCACCAGGCTGGGAAGACTGAATCTGCAATAGGTAAGCAGCTTGGTTTGAAGAAATCAACTGTGGGAGCAATTATTAGGAAATGGAAGACATACAACACCACTGATAATCTCCCTCGATCTGGGGCTCCACACAAGATCTCACCCCGTGGGGTCAAAATGATCACAAGAACGGTGAGCAAAAATCCCAGAACCACACAGGGGGACCTAGTGAATGACCTGCAGAGAGCTGGGACCAAAGTAACAAAGCCTACCATCAGTAACACACTACGCCGCCAGGGACTCAAATCCTGCAGTGCCAGACGTGTCCCCCTGCTTAAGCCAGTACATGTCCAGGCCCGTCTGAAGTTTGCTAGAGTGCATTTGGATGATCCAGAAGAGGATTGGGAGAATGTCATATGGTCAGATGAAACCAAAATAGAACTTTTTGGTAAAAACTCAACTCGTCGTGTTTGGAGGACAAAGAATGCTGAGTTGCATCCAAAGAACACCATACCTACTGTGAAGCATGGGGGTGGAAACATCATGCTTTGGGGCTGTTTTTCTGCAAAGGGACCAGGACGACTGATCCGTGTAAAGGAAAGAATGAATGGGGCCATGTATCGTGAGATTTTGAGTGAAAACCTCCTTCCATCAGCAAGGGCATTGAAGATGAAACGTGGCTGGGTCTTTCAGCATGACAATGATCCCAAACACACCGCCCGGGCAACGAAGGAGTGGCTTCGTAAGAAGCATTTCAAGGTCCTGGAGTGGCCTAGCCAGTCTCCAGATCTCAACCCCATAGAAAATCTTTGGAGGGAGTTGAAAGTCTGTGTTGCCCAGCGACAGCCCCAAAACATCACTGCTCTAGAGGAGATCTGCATGGAGGAATGGGCCAAAATACCAGCAACAGTGTGTGAAAACCTTGTGAAGACTTACAGAAAACGTTTGACCTGTGTCATTGCCAACAAAGGGTATATAACAAAGTATTGAGAAACTTTTGTTATTGACCAAATACTTATTTTCCACCATAATTTGCAAATAAATTCATAAAAAATCCTAAAATGTGATTTTCTGGAGAATTTTTTTAATCATTTTGTTTGTCATAGTTGACGTGTACCTATGATGAAAATTACAGGCCTCTCTCATCTTTTTAAGTGGGAGAACTTGCACAATTGGTGGCTGACTAAATACTTTTTTCCCCACTGTAACACAAAGACTAAAGAGAACACACTCTTTCTTAACAATTTCATCACAGAGTGACTTGCTGGATTATGAACATTAAAGAACCCAGTGTGAGTACAGAGATTTTCAACATTTTACTCATTCATTCAATTGCATGTGTATCATCCTCTAGCACCGCCATACACTGCAGGGTTAGCGGGAGAGAAGGAGAGAAAGAGATGCGCTTTCGTTCCTGGTTAGTGTTGCTAAACGTTGACTTACTGCGTCATGTCTTCCAGAAATCTTCTAAATCTGCGACATGGCGTTACCTGCAGTGGATGATAGCGCTCTGGCCCGTTGCAGTCTGCCCCATGGACATCGACCTGATGTTCCCTATCAAGGACAAGACCCACCACGGTCTGATGCGGGCCATGAAGGTAACCTAGGGCCCCAGTCAAAAGTAGTGCACTATATAGGGAATGTGGTGCCATTTTGGACGGAGGCCTAGTATAATGATTATTATTGTTACATGTTTATTACACCTTCAGTCTTACATCAGACAGGACTTCTTCCACCACTACTTCTACTGACAAAGTGAGAAAACCTCTTATCTGTGTTAGGATGGGATGAATAGGTGGGCAAAGAAGACTGAGGGCAGTGTTTGTCTCCTCAACAACAAAAAGCTACCAGCTGAGACAAATTTGAACCCCCCCAACTAAGGCAAGTTTGGTGTGGTGTGCAACTGAACATTGAAACGTCATTGCTGATGATCCTTGTGAACGACAACTGTTTACCTCCTGTATGTTCTTTAGAGAACAATTTCACAAAGGATAAAGATCCAAGGTCAGATCTTCATCCCAACAGGAAGTGGGAATATGTAAGAAATGACTGTAAAATCAGATTGTTGTACTTCAAATCTTCCATTGTAATGGATCAGTGTAAGGGGCCCAAATCTGCTCCATATAGAGAGGTTCAGATGAACCCACGTTGCTGCTCTCCTCTCTGGGTTGTCTTGTAGGCGGGGGGGGGCAAGCTGGGGGAGAGGCCCTCCACCGCGTCAGTGCAGGTACGCAGCTGTATCCTGAGACTGAAGGGGAGTCTGTGGTGCAGAGCGTACATGAACCCTGCGAGGACCACTGCCAAGACCACCACCATGGTAGGGCAACTGTGGGCACCGATAATACCGGCAGCCACTATTTCAAACACTTAAGCTGCATCTCCATGATGATTTGTTAATGACCTTGATACCATGTCACTCACAGTACACCAAGAGGGACATCATCAGGAGTGTGTACAGCAGTGCCAAAAACGTATTTGAACATCTGACAAATGATGAAAACTCAGGTAGGATACAACTGATGAATAGTTAGTTACCAGTGCAGTAGGACGTCTTAAACGGCCTTGAAATTCAATAAGTAGTCCACAGCTATGCCACTAGATGGCGGTGGTCAGGCACTGTAGTTTTTCTTGTACACTCAACTAGCATCATGCATGACAATATGACAGAGGCTCTTGAGTAACTGTAAAATATGTAAAAACAATCTTTGACCTTTGTATATAAAACAGGTACGCATATGTCTGTGTGCATGTGTGACCCTACAGATATCCATGCCTATGTCTCAATTTGTAAGTCGCTCTGGATAAGAGCGTCTGCTAAATTATGTAAATGTGATTGTAAATGTGTGTGTGTTTGTGTTTGTTTGCATGTTTGCGTGTGTGTGTGTTTGCGTGTGTCTATGTGTGTGTGTGTGCGTGTGTCTCTATAGCGAATGCGTTCATGGGCTCCCAGGCTCTGGCCAAGCGGTTGTTCTTCCTGGTTCCCAACACTGGCATCTCTCTGTGTGACTACATACTCTCCTCTAAGACGGAGGCAGCTGTCCAGGAGAGGGTGAGGGAGTGGGTAGGCTTCACCATCCCTGACGGGCAGCTCCATATCACCCAGCAGCTGGTACAGGGCAGGTTAGAGTGGCACCAAGGTAGGCTAGGTACTGGTTCAGCTCCATCTATGCTGTCTGAAATGGCACCCTATTCCTCATATAGTGCACTACTTTTGACCTGAGCCCTAGTTGCCATGAGATAATCTGGTGGTCAGCTAGATGTTTTGTCTTAAGCCAATGTCCTCTTGATGTTCCTTGAGGGGGTGAAGATATACTTGGCTACATTTTGGAAAGTGAGTGACTCAAACGTGACTTGACCGCTATCCTAAATAGGCCTATTACAGGTGAGATGATGTCACAGCAGTAAATGTTGTTTCCTCCTCATACATGCCTGTTGTCTGTCATCAACTTTATTCCTCTTGATGTCATGTTTTAAAATGCATGTAGGGCAGGCTATCAGCAATTAGTTATATTCTAGATAATCGTTCTATTCTATTCTATTCTATTTACTTTTGCCACTACCTGTGTCTGTCTGCTTTATAAGGTTCCTCCCCAGTTTCAGTTTCTGTCCCACCCATAGCATACTGTACATCTCAATAAGATATCTGTGCCCTTTGTGACACAGTTGCGGTATGTGTTCAGATCTTGTCGCGACCTGTTTCCACAATCATCTGTGTGGTTTACAGATGATTGAGCATCAATGTGGATTTTTTTTATAAAAGACAAGCAGAGGAAAATAAATAGCTGAAGTCAATTGATCTCCCCCAGGCTTCAGATATGTGTTACAATAAAGAAGGTGGTTCCTTGCCGCCTTTCTGCCTGTAGTTTAGTGATGTGTACACTAATAGTAACCTCGCCTCGCTCTGCTATGTTAAACTCTACCATTGAGTCATCCATCTCAGAGAGGTCAATACTTGTCTGAAAAGCAAAATCCAGGGGTCAAGTGTAGGTTTAGGTACTGGCCACACAGATCACATTTGTCACACCTAGCGGTGGTGCTTTTGTAAGGTGTGGTATGTCTGGTCAACCAAGCGCTTGCCCTGAGTTCTTCCATTAGAGAAACTAATCCATTAGCTAAAGCAGTTAGGAAGCAGTTAGGAAGCAGGTAGGAAGCAGTTAGGAAGCATGTAAGAAGCAGGTAGGAAGCATGTAAGAAGCAGGTAGGAAGCAGTTAGGAAGCAGGTAGGAAGCAGTTAGGAAGCATGTAAGAAGCAGGTAGGAAGCATGTAAGAAGCAGGTAGGAAGCAGGTAGGAAGCAGTTAGGAAGCAGGTAGGAAGCAGTTAGGAAGCATGTAAGAAGCAGGTAGGAAGCATGTAAGAAGCAGGTAGGAAGCAGGTAGGAAGCAGTTAGGAAGAAGTTAAGAAGCAGAGGAAGTTGAGTGTCTAACAGCTTTTATTCTGGTTGGAGATTCAGAGGAGGGCATGGACTGCACCTGGGTCCCGGTGTACAAGATCCAGCAGAGGCGCAAAATCACCATGGGTATGTTGCGATGCAGCATAGCCTCTCTCCCGCCTTCCGTTTACTTTCCCCCTCTCCTCCATATTACTCAGTCCATATTACTCAGTCCATATTACTCAGTCCATATTACTCAGTCCATATTACTCAGTCCATATTACTCAGTCCATATTACTCAGTCCATATTACTCAGTCCATATTACTCCTCCTCTCCTCTGGGTTGTAGGTGTGGCAGCGGCTTCAGGAGTCGCCCTGGTGGCTTATCTCATCGGCATGGTCGTCCTAGAAGAGTGACAATCTGACCCACGGAGTCAAGCGGTTCAATCCCAGGATGTGGCACGCACAGGGCATCAGAACATCCCCCGGATTCCCGTAAATTAAAGGGGCCTGCGAAATGACAAGGAAGTTAAGATGTGTTTTCCAGTTTCTATTCACCCATTCCAGTAACAGATGACAGTGTGTCTAGAAATACACTTTCTGGGTTCATTGTTAGAGGGGCCCATTCATATTTGCGGTGTGAGACAGCAAAGTCACATGGAAGGAGTCGTGTGTATTTTGCCCATTTATTTTCACATGAGATCAGAGCCACCAGCTGCTATAGTTTTACATACTAATGGGAGCATCATGCCCCGGACCGGGTCCTCAGCCCTTTGTCATGCCTCATGATGTGACGTCATCTCAGTGGGGTTTTGTGTGGGTCAACTAGAGTGTTGCAGCTGGTGCCATGAATCAAAGCACACAACACAAACTGAGAAACAACCTACACAATAAACAGAGAGAGAGGGATGGGGGAGCTTATTATAACTATTGTAGGTAAATATTTGTGTTAGCTAATCTCGTTCTCGGAAGTCTCGGGGGATTCATGCATAGCCCACTGTCTAAACATAAATGTAGCAGTTAAATAACACGCATTATGTCATGTGTTTTGGTACAGCGCTACAGTGTTGACGTTATGGAACTTTATAGATCTTGTTTTGTTTGGTGCTAATATCTGTGTCTCAGCCCTTCCATACGGCACTTGATGTTTTCTCTCAACATTGCTACAGGCTTACACTGCACTCCTGAACCCTGACATCAACAGCAACCACCGCAGATACACAACACTTACTGTAGGCTATTATACAGCAAAGGCCAAATACAATCTGAATACAATTTCAGAGAATAATACAGAATATACACTGAACAAAAATATAAATGCAACATGCAACAATTTCAAAGATTTTACTGATTTACAGTTCAAATCAGTCGAATGAAATAAATAAATTAGGCCCTAATCTATGGATTTCACATGACTGGGAATACAGATATGCATCTGTTGGTCATGGATACCTTTAAAAAAATATATATGGTTGTGGATCAGAAAAGCAGTCAGTATCTGGTGTGACCACCATTTGCCTCATGCAGCGTGACACATCTCCTTTAAAATAGAGTTGATAATGCTGTTGATTGGGGCCTGTGGAATGTTGTCCCACTCCTCTTCCATGGCTGTGTGAAGTTGCTGGATATTGGCAGGAACTGGAACACAGAACATGTTGTCGTACACGTCGATCCAGAGCATCCCAGAACTGGGACATTTTCATCTTCCAGGAATTGTGTACAGATCCTTGCGACATGGGGCCGTGCATTATCATGCTGAAACATGAGGTGATGGCGGCGGATGAATGGCACGACAATGGGCCTTAGGATCTCATCACGGTATCTCTGTGCATTCAAATTGCCATCAATAAAATGCAATTGTGTTCATTGTCCGTAGCTTATGCCTGCCCATACCATAACCCCACCGCCACCATGGGGCGCTCTGTTCACAACGTTGACATCAGCAAACCGCTCGCCCACACGACACCATACACGCTGTCTGCCATCTGCCCGGTACAGTTGAAACCTGGATTAATCCATGAAGAGCGTGCCAGCGGCCATCGAAGGTGAGCATTTGCCCACTGAAGTCTGTTACCGCCGAACTGCAGTCAGGTCAAGACCCTGGTGAGGACAACGAGCACGCGGATGAGCTTCCCTGAGACGGTTTCTGACAGTTTGTGCAGAAATTCTTCGGTTGTGCAAACCCACAGTTTCATCAGCTGTCCGGGTGGCTGGTCTCAGATGATCCCACTGGTGAAAAAAGCCAGATGTGGAGGTCCTGGGCTGGTGTGGTTACACGTAGTCTGCGGTTCTGAGGCCGGTTGGACGCACTGCGAAGTTCTCTAAAACGACGTTGGAGGTGGCTTATGGTAGAGAAATGAACATTAAATTCTCTGGCAACAGCTCTGGTGGACATTTCTGCTGTTAGCATGCCACTTGAGACATCTGTGCCATTGTGTTGTGTTACAACTTCACATTTTAGAGTGGCCTTTTATTGCACCCAGCACAAGGTGCACATGTGTAATGATCATGCTGTTTAATCAGCTTCTTGATATGTCACACCTGTCAGGTGGATGGATTGTCTTGGCAAAGGAGAAATGCTCACTAACAGGGATGTAAACAAATTTGTTCACAAAATGTGAGAGAAATAAGCTTTTTTTGCATATGGAACATTTCTGGGATCTTCTATTTTAGCTCATGAAACATGGGACCAACACATTACATGTTGTGTTTATATTTGTGTTCAGTGTACTTGCAATTTCATGTTTGTAAGGAAATACTCTTGATTTGAACCTCTTGGAGGCTAGTTAGACTCAACCAATCATCATTGTCTTGAGTACCTGTGGCTCACCTTTAGCAGCAGCACCCAGAGAGAGAGAGAGAGAGAGAGAGAGAGAGAGAGAGAGAGATAGAGAAGAGAGAGAGAGAGAGAGAGAGAGAGAGAGAGAGAGAGCGAGAGGGGGAAGAGAGAGAGTAGATAGCATCTCGAGAGACTCGATAGATCGCTCTACGATAGAGAGATATAGATAGAGAAAGATCTCGAGATAGAGAGCGAGAGAGAGAGATTACGCAGAGCGAGATCGATAGCAGCTCATCTCTCTATAGATCTATCTCTCTCTCTCGTCTATGACTTCTCGCTCTATCTGCTCCCCAACACCCTACTCTCTCTCAGTCTCTTTCCTCTCTCTCTTTCCTCTCTCCCCTCTCTACGCTCTCTCTCTCTCTGCTCTCTCTCTCCGCTCTTCTGATTCTCAGCTAAATTTCTTTCTCTGTGCGTCTCAGAGAGGAGATAAGAGACGAGAGAGAGAGAGAGAGAGAGAGTAGAGCGAGGAGAGAGAGCGAGAGAGAGGAGAGAGAAGAAGAGAGAGAGAGAGAGAGAATAGAGCGAGAGAGGGGAAGAGAGAGGGGAGGAGCTCTCTTTCTCCTCTCTCTCTCTCTCGCTCTCTCTCGTCTACTCTCTCTCTCTCTCTCTCTCTCTCTCATCTCTCTCTCTCTCTGTCTCTCTCTCTTCTCTCTCTCTCTCTCTCTCTCTCTCTCTACTCTGCTCTCTCTCTACTGACTGCTGCCCTCTCTATCTCTCTCTCTCTCTCTCTTTTCCTCTCTCTCTCCTCTCTCCCGTCTCCTCTCCTCTCTCTCTCTCTCTCTCCTCTCTCTCTCATTCTCTCTCTCCTCTCTCTCTAGCTCGCTCTCTCTCTCTCTCTCTCTCTCTCTCTCTTATCTCTCTCTTCTCTCTTTCTCTTCTCTCTCCTCTCTCTTCTCGTCTCTGTCTCCTCCTCTCGCTCTCTTCTCTCTCTCTCTTTTTCCCTCTCTCTCTTTCCTCCCTTCTCTTATCTCTCTACTCTCTCTCCTCTCTCATCTCTCTCTCTCTCTCTTCTCTCTCTCTCCTCTCTTTCTCTCTCTCTCTCTCTTTTCCTCTCTCTCTTTCCTCTTCTCTTCTTTCTGCTCCTCTCTCTCTCTCTCTCTCTCTTCTCTCTCGCGATCTCTCTCTCTCTCTCATCTCTCTCTCCTCTCTATCTCTCTCTCTCTCGTTTCCTCTCTCTCTTCCATCTCTCTCTCTATCTCTCTCTCTCTCCTCTTCTCTCTCTCTCTCGAGTCGTGCTCTCCTCCTCTCTCTCTCTCTCTCCTCCTCTTCCCTCTCTTCTCTCTCTCCTCCGCTCTCTCTCTCTTCTTTCTCTGTCTCTCTCTCTCTCTGCTCTCTACCTGTTCAATCAGTAGAGCACGCGCCTTGGCTTTGCGCTTACTTAGGTCGAAGCTCGTCATCTGAAACCCTGGATATTAACCTCGTTGAAGCTTAACAAACACTGGCGTGGCTGCTAGTCACTACTAGTACCATCGCTATATAGGCAACGTGTGTTCGCTGTCTCCCATTAGTTGGATTCAATCATTTCATGGTGGCAACTGGACTCTCTCGCTCTATCGTATCCAAAACGGTGGAGGTCCGGAAACAGGTTGGCTTATGGTTCTAATGTGGTGAGCGAGCGAAAAAATCTCGCTCTCTCCTCTTCATCTGTCCTCTCTCTCTCTCTCTCTCTTCTCTCTCTCTCTCCTCTCTCGCGCTCTCCTCTCGCCTCTCTCTCTCGTCTCTCTCCTCTCTATCTACCTTCTCGTCCTCGCCTCTCTCTTCTCTTCTCTCTCTTCTCTCTCTTCTCTTCTCTCCTCTCTCTTCTCTCTCCTCTTGCGTCCTACTCTCTCCCTCTCTCGTGCGTCTCTCTCCTCTCTCTCTCGCTCTCTTTTCCCCCCCCCTTCCTCCTTCTCTTTCTCTCTTCCTCCCATCTCTCTCTCTCCCTCTTCTACCTGCCTCTACTCTAACTCTCTTCTCTCTCTCTCTCTTCTTTCCTCTTCCCCTCTCCTCTCCTCATCTCTCTCTCTCGGGCTCTCCTCTCCCTCCCTCTCTCTCTTCACGTCTTCTCTCCTCTCTCTCTCTCTTCCTCTACTCTCTCTCTCTTCTCTCTTCTCTCGCTCGTCTCTCCTCTCTCCTACCTCTCTCTCTTCTCCTACCTCTCTACGTCTCTGCTAGCTCTCTCTCTCTCTCTCTCCTGCCTCACACTACGTTTTTCTCTCCTCTCGAGAGAAGCCAGGCCAGCCAAATAGCCACAGAGGCTCGTGACTTAATCCTATAAAAGGATTAGAGAGCCTGATCAGCTAGAGGAGATCACTGTGATCACACGGACCCCCTCATCATAACATGACACTCCTTAATTGGGAATGATGTAAGACTGTGGAATGTCTGACATTGTTCTGACAGTTTGTTTCGTCACCATGCTGTGACACACAGGAGGCTGGTGGCACCTTAATTGGGGAGGAAGGGCTCGTGGTAATGACTGGAGCGGAATCAGTGGAATGGTATCAAACACACGGTTTCAAGGCGTTTGAAACCCTTACATTTGCGCCGTTCCGGACATTATTATGAGCCGTCCTCCCCTCAGCAGCCTCCTGTGAGTAACATCAAAAGATCAAGGTCAGGTTGTTGATTGTTGATTTTAGGTGACAGATGTGACAGATTTGCTGCATTCTTAGGATAGGTCTTCCTGTCTCAGTGGGGTCAGCCTGTTAAAACTAAGGATAGGCCTACATGAATAGGAATAAATGGTACAGTAGATTAGTGTAGTATGGCGCCTCAACAGAAGAGGGTGCACCATGCAATCCTGTTGAACATCTAGGTCCCTGGTTGGAATGTGGAGACTGCTGCCAACATCAAATAGGGGGCCGATGAGCTTTTCTCTTCTTTGTTAGTTATGAACTTGTTCTACACTCACAGCACACCAGCATCCAATACAGTACCTTCTGTCTTCATCATGGTGAACCCCTGTTCTTTTCCCATAATTCAGGGTTCAGCCACAGTTCAGACCACAGTTCAACCAGAAGCACGCTTCCAGCGGTTCCATGTGCACGCATGTGCGTCTGTCAGTTTCCACTAAATAGGAAGCACCGTAATTGAATTTATGACATATCAAATTGTGGGTAAATAATGAACGTCTGTGCTTGAATAACTCCCTGGTGCTTATTATATATTTTTTTATGCGTGAACTTTTCAACCTGTGCTGGGGTCACAGCGAAGTCATTTATGTGCTGTAGTTATGTATGTGGCAAGGTTGTTCAACGTGTGAGAGCCTGCCACTCAAACTTAACCCGGGAGGAGAGAGACTCAACGAGAGGGAGGAGGCCACCCCGTCTGTCTGTCATTCTCGGTCAGTCTGTCTGTCTGTCTGTCTGTCTGTCTGTCTGTCTGTCTGTCTGACTCTGAGAGACCCTCTGAATTCTCTGTGTTCCTTACTCTTCTTCCCTGCATAAAGTGCCTTTTAGCGTCCTAAAATAATGTACTGGAGTTATATCACATTAGAAATGACTTGATAACATGTTATGGTGTGATCTGCAAAATCTGTATGTCTGGCCTAGAATCAATTGGACTTAAAAGTCTCCCAATGGCTTGAACTATTAGTTAGCCATTATTGAAGACAAGCCAGCGTTTATGTTTTCTATAACAGCTTATATACAGTTGAAGTCAGAAGTTTACATACACCTTAGCCAAATACATTTAAACCGTTTTTCACAATTCCTGACATTTAATCCTAGTAAAAATACCCTGTCTTAGGTCAGTTAGGATCACCACTTTATTTTAAGAATGTGAAATGTCAGAATAATAGTAGAGAGAATGATTTATTTCAGCTTTTATTTCTTTCATCACATTCCCAGTGGGTCAGAAGTTTACATACACTCAATTAGTATTTGGTAGCATTGCCTTTAAATTGTTTAACTTGTGTCAAACGTTTCGGGTAGCCTTCCACAAGCTTCCCACAATAAATAACCTCCTGACAGAGCTGGAACAGAATCAGGTTTGTAGGCCTCCTTGCTCGCACATGCTTTTTCAGTTCTGCCCACACATTTTCTATAGGATTGAGGTCAGGGCTTTGTGATGGCCACTCCAATACCTTGACTTTGTTGTCCTTAAGCCATTTTGCCACAACTTTGGAAGTATGCTTGGGGTCATTGTCTATTTGGAAGACCCATTTGCGACCAAGCTTTAACTTCCTGACTGATGTCTTGAGAGGTTGCTTCAATATATCCACATCATTTTCCTTCCTCATGATACCATCTGTTTTGTGAAGTGCACCAGTCTCTCCTGCAGCAAAGCACCCCCACAGCATGATGCTGCCACCCCTGTTCTTCACGGTTGGGATGGTGTTCTTCGGCTTGCAAGCCCCACTTTTTTACATAACGATGGTCATTATGGCCAAACAGTTATATTTTTGTTTCATCAGTCCAGAGGACATTTCTCCAAAAAGTACGATCTTTGTCCCCTTGTGCAGTTTCAAATCGTAGTCTGGCTTTTTTTATGGCGGTTTTGGAGCAGTGGCTTCTTCCTTGCTGAGCGGCCTTTCGGGTTATGTCGATATAGGACTCGTTTTACGGTGGATATAGATACTTTTGTACCTGTTTCCTCCAGCATCTTCACGAGGTCCTTTGCAGTTGTTCTGGGATTGATTTGCACTTTTCGCACCAAAGTACATTCATGTCAATATATAGCACTAAGGGGCCAGTGGAATCAGCTAAATCCTGCACAAAAGCAACAATGTTTCCTAGACAACTGAGTGGGATGTTTCCATGACGACTTTATGTCACTTCTTCAAAAGGCTCATGTAGCAGGCCGCTTGTCAATGGCTTTTCCAGATAAGTGTGTGTAACTACTGCACTGGCTATGTAGCATTTTCTAAAAATCAGTTGGCAAGTTAGTCTTAGTTGACACATGGATGCTTTTCCAAAAGTTCGAATAATGTAACAAAATTCATTAATTAGCAATTCAATGACACATTTGGTTTGTAAAGTTTGTTTTAATGTTTTTTTGTTTCGTTTGATTAAATAGTATATACAGTATGTCAGGCATAACTGAAAATAATCTTACAGCATTTGTAAATCCCTAAAATAAATCTGTTATTAAACCTTGAAAAAATATTATTCTAAAAACTTGAAAATATGACATATATAATATAGTAACTTTTACCCAGAAACACCATAGGCTGGTGTCCTGGACCCAGAGTAATCCTAATCAGAATCAGCCCAATATGTGATGTGGTCCTCTGTAGCTCAATTGGTAGAGCATGGCGTTACAAGATCCCCGGGACCACCCATACGTAAAAATGTATGCACGCATGACTGTAAATCGCTTTGGATTAAAGTGTCTGCTAAATGATATATTATTATATGTCTCGTTTTCCCCCTTTACATACAAGTAGCCTATTAATAGATCAACTTTGGCCCCGACAATAAGTTAACTGGAACTGCAGGGTAACTTGTCATTTTCTAGTAGGAATTCAAACCCTAATCCACATCTGGTACACATGCCACCTGTATTCAGGCTGCTGAGGTTTCTTCCCTGGATGGACATTATATTATCCCTCATTTAGGGAATGGACTCCCTCTACAGTACGCTCAGGCCGCTCTAGTGCAGTCAGCCCAGTATGTGTGCGTCTGCTACTCTCTGTTACACAAAATAAGCATCAATCCTCCTCCACATACTTCCCTCCTTCAACCCCACCATCCCTTCATCACTCCACTCCACCATAAACCCCTGTCCTCCATCTCCTCCTCCACACACCTCCCTTCCGCAACCCTTTCATCCCACCTCCATTTCCATTCCTCCATCACTCCACTGCCTCCACATCCACGGCTGCCTCCTCTTCCTCTCCACCAACCACTACATCTTTCTCCGGCAGCAGGCCGTAGCCGTTGAGGAAAGCCTCCACGTCGGTGGCGAAGAACTCCTCGTTGAAGTGCTGGTTGGTGGCCAGGAAGTTCCCCAGCAGCTCGCCGGCCTTGTACACCAGCATGGTGGGCAGGACGCTGTCAGTGAAGCGCTCCCCCGCACCAGTCGCCGCCGCGTCAATCCTGCAAAACTTGACGCTGGTGTACTCGGTGGCCAGGCAGTCCAGGCAGGAGTTGAGCGCCTCGCAACCTTTGATCCCTTCCTTGTAGATGTGCACAACCACCACGGTGAGCCGGTGCTCCTTCTCAATTACCTCCAGGAATGCCTCGCCGCTGTCCAGCTCGTACACACCCTCGAACTTGGGCCCGAAGCTGAGGCGCTCGTGCATCTCCTGCATGCACTGCTTGCGGTACTTTTTCATGCACTTCTCGTCATCCTCCTTAATCAGCTCGTACTCCTGTACGCTCATCTAAAACCATGACAATGAACAAAGAATGATTTACAGTTTATTGATCGTCATGGACACTGTCTCCTTACACAGTCATGTCTTGTTTTGTTTTTAGCTCACTAAGGCAGTTAGTGTTTACAGCCCATATATCATTAGAGTCACACCTGTTTAGACTATGTTAGCCATCTGTATAATGAGACATAGAGAGACCTAGTCTGGGTGTTCAATTGACCGGTCCAAGATACTGGAAGGGGACACTTAAGTGAACTCATTTAAGGTGTACATTTGTCAGCATGTTTCTGTTTGTGCATTTGGACCATAGAAATACACATTAAACTGTGATGTAACCTAATCTAACCCACCTTGCGGTTGAGGCCTCCCCTGCCGTCATCTTTGGGCCTGTGTGGGGAGGACATCTGCCTGAGCAGCTCTCTCTTCTGGGGGGGCAGGGACTCCTGGTCCATGCTCTCAAGCTTAAACCTCCTCCAGTCATTGATCACTCCCTTTGGGCCTGGAAAAAACAGGACAACGATCATTCATTTGTGGTCATATGGAAATACTGTAAGCCTCAGACTCCTGTCTTGTCATCCTCAATGGTTTGTAATGTTTGTAGGCCTACTGCCATTGACCTGGTGTGCCGAACTGACACAGAATTGCAGAACAGTATTCTTGATGTCATGTGCCGAGACTCCACCAAAATAGAGTTTATACATGGCAGCAGCCATCTTTGTTTTGGGCTGTGACTCAGATGAACACAGCAGACTGTGTGTGTGATTGACAGATGTACAATGTGCAGTGCTGGATGGGTTGGCCCTAGGGTTCCTGTGGTCTCCCTTTGTGGTCTGTAGCCAACTGTAAGCACGGCTTGTAACGCCAAGGTATGGGTTCGATCCCGGACCACTACAAAATGTATGCAGCTGACTGTAAGCGTTTGGTAACGTCTGCTAATGGATATTATTTTCTTATATTATTATGATGGATTATGGCCTAAACTAGACGCTTAAGGCTGTCTTCTAATTGCACCTTGGTTGCGTAGGAGTAGGTAGGAAAGTAGCTTAGAGCGTCTGTCAGTGCCAGAACACCACAGAGCTCTGTGTCTCTCTGCTACCTGCTACTAACATTGCTTATCCCTTTCTAGTGGGTGGCTGCTTGCCGGCTGTGTGCTGTATTTGACCTCTCCCTGATTCAAAGGAATAATGCCATATATCCTATCAGGCTTACTGTGGAAAAGCAGACAGACTGTTGCCGGTGTCTTATATAGGTCTGATCTCAGATAGACCTAAATGTTCTAAGGATGAACTGTAAATGTCCAAGACACCACCTTCACACTTTAATCACACACTCACACACACACACAAACAGACACACACATTAGCCTCATCCTCACCTGTGTGGGTGACATTGGCCTCCTCCTCATCGACGTTTCCAGACATTATGTTTGAGATTTAGCTGTTGGAAACAGAACACAGGAGGGGAGGGGATGTTTTAAAAGTCTCTCAGAACCTAAACCATCGTTCATTGAACAAAAGGAACATTGTGACAATAAAGCTCAAGATCATTCAGGATTATCATATTTTGCAGTTCGGCCATTTTGAGTGGTGTTTGGTGTGCTCATAGGGGATGTACTCTTCAGTGTTGTCTCTGAAAAACACTCTTTATAGTAGGCCAAAGTGATAGCTGAGATGTTGCATGTTGACACCATATAATCCTTTTTGGGACTGAGGGCCATTGATATCAGACAGAATGACTGCTCTACCTATTTCAATTCTGTGATCCCCAAATAATCTTAGCTCCCAAAACCAAATCTCAGTCTGTCAAGAGAGACTAGTCCCCCAATAACATTATGTAATCAAGCGTGTTTGGAAAGGTTCTAGCCCTGTATGCCCATGGAGCTTTCCTGGAAGTGCTAATCAAGTTAATGTGGTTTGAGTGGATTACTCTGGTATCCGATCCCTCTTGTTAGTGGTTGGCACGTGAGGGTTAGATTCTCTCTGGATTGTTTGTAATGGAAAGGAGGAGGGGCTAAAGAAAAGGAGGAAGGGGTTAAGGTGCCATTCCTGGAAAAATACTGGAAAACCAACAGCCACCAGACATATTTTTTTACTTATATGTGTGCTTTAACGAAATCATCATGTTTTAAATATTTTTAAATCTATTTGGGGAAGCTTTTCCACACATTATTTTTCTCTCTTTTGTCTCTCTCTCTCCTATAAACCTCTCTATTGTGATGTTAACCAGGTGACGGCAGGACACATTTAGTCTAACCTGTGACTAACAGATCACTCACCACAGAGTTACACTGACTTTCCAACTGACAGATCACCCACCCCAGAGTTACACTGACTTTCCAACTGACAGATCACCCACCACAGAGTTACACTGACTTTCCAACTGACAGATCACCCACCCCAGAGTTACACTGACTTTCCAACTGACAGATCACCCACCACAGAGTTACACTGACTTTCCAACTGACAGATCACCCACCACAGAGTTACACTGACTTTCCAAGGCATTCCGACACCTTCTTCCCTTGTGTGTGTGGACACTGAGGTAAAGCTTGCGGTTGGGCTGGTACAGTGTTGCTTACTCTAAGCCAATACGTCAATAGATTAAACTGACTCCAGTGTTTAAATCTTAGCACACCACATCTGAGGTGAGTCCTTAGTCCTCCCTCCTTCCTGTATCCAACCTCTGACCCTGGTCTGTCCAACAGCCTACCACAAGGAAGAATGTCTCCATGGCAACCCCCCCCCCCCCCCAACCCCCATCTCTAAGGGTGGGTTTGTGATTACAGTGTCCAGGCTATGCAGGGGATAGCCATGATGCACTCCTCTTTGATGATTCATCTCCCTGATTGGAGTTGTGAAGTCATTGGCCCTTAAGCGAGTCCACATTTGTTCCAGAACACCATGTAGGATGTTGAGCCATTCATAAATAACGTCTGTAAAGAACCAACTGATTGCAGCGTTACCGCAAAAATGGAGGAGGCAAGTGGAAAGGGGAAAAGGTAAGGAACTTGTCTGTCGGCCCTGCATTAAAGATCAAAATTGGCTAAAGAGAATTGTGATAAATAAAAAAGTATACCGGTTTCATTTAAGGACCAGAAATTGACAGCTGCACCATACAGGTTGCAAAATAGTTGGGAGGAGATTTTCGAAGTACCAATTCCATGGCACATGGTTTATGAACAGATACAGTGGGGGAAAAAAGTATTTAGTCAGCCACCAATTGTGCAAGTTCTCCCACTTAAAAAGATGAGAGAGGCCTGTAATTTTCATCATAGGTACACGTCAAATATGACAGACAAATTGAGGAAAAAAAATCCAGAAAATCACATTGTAGGATTTTTAATGAATTTATTTGCAAATTATGGTGGAAAATAAGTATTTGGTCACCTACAAACAAGCAAGATTTCTGGCTATCACAGACCTGTAACTTCTTCTTTAAGAGGCTCCTCTGTCCTCCACTCGTTACCTGCATTAATGGCACCTGTTTGAACTTGTTATCAGTATAAAAGACACCTGTCCACAACCTCAAACAGTCACACTCCAAACTCCACTATGGTCAAGACCAAAGAGCTGTCAAAGGACACCAGAAACAAAATTGTAGACCTGCACCAGGCTGGGAAGACTGAATCTGCAATAGGTAAGCAGCTTGGTTTGAATAAATCAACTGTGGGAGCAATTATTAGGAAATGGAAGACATAAAAGACCACTGATAATCTCCCTCGATCTGGGGCTCCACGCAAGATCTCACCCCGTGGGGTCAAAATGATCACAAGAACGGTGAGCAAAAATCCCAGAACCACACAGGGGGACCTAGTGAATGACCTGCAGAGAGCTGTGACCAAAGTAACAAAGCCTACCATCAGTAACACACTACGCCGCCAGGGACTCAAATCCTGCAGTGCAGACGTGTCCCCCTGCTTAAGCCAGTACATGTCCAGGCCTGTCTGAAGTTTGCTAGAGTGCATTTGGATGATCCAGAAGAGGATTGGGAGAATGTCATATGGTCAGATGAAACCAAAATATAACTTTTTGGTAAACACTCAACTCGTCGTGTTTGGAGGACCTAGAATGCTGAGTTGCATCCAAAGAACACCATACCTACTGTGAAGCATGGGGGTGGAAACATCATGCTTTGGGGCTGTTTTTCTGCAAAGGGACCAGGACGACTGATCCGTGTAAAGGAAAGAATGAATGGGCCCATGTATCGTGAGATTTTGAGTGAAAACCTCCTTCCATCAGCAAGGGCATTGAAGATGAAACGTGGCTGGGTCTTTCAGCATGACAATGATCCCAAACACACCGCCCGGGCAACGAAGGAGTGGCTTCGTAAGAAGCATTTCAAGGTCCTGGAGTGGCCTAGCCAGTCTCCAGATCTCAACCCCATAGAAAATCTTTGGAGGGAGTTGAAAGTCCGTGTTGCCCAGCGACAGCCCCAAAACATCACTGCTCTAGAGGAGATCTGCATGGAGGAATGGGCCAAAATACCAGCAACAGTGTGTGAAAACCTTGTGAAGACTTACAGAAAACGTTTGACCTGTGTCATTGCCAACAAATGATATATAACAAAGTATTGAGAAACTTTTTGTTATTGACCAAACACTTATTTTCCACCATAATTTGCAAATAAATTCATAAAAAATCCTACAATGTGATTTTCTGGAAAAAAAATTCTCATTTTGTCTGTCATAGTTGACGTGTACCTATGATGAAAATTACAGGCCTCTCTCATCTTTTTAAGTGGGAGAACTTGCACAATTGGTGGCTGACTAAATACTTTTTTTCCCCACTGTACATAAAACGAAGCCAGATTCAAAACTTAGAGTTTTGAATCCGACTCTGCAGATTTTTCTGCGAAGAGACAAAATCATCAGATCACTTGTTTTGGTACTGCCCATATGTAGCTTGTTTTTGGTCGCAGGTTCAGGAATGGCTGAAAATATTTACTTGGAGCTAACTCTGCTGGGTGATTTGAAAAGATATAGTCAATCGATCAATAATATAATAATACTCTTAGCAAAGGTGTTTATCTTTGAAACTATGAGAATGGAAAGGTTCAGAACATTTGTGAAACATCACAGCACAGTTGAAAAATATATGGCAAATAGATATAAAAACTGGATAGTCTTCAGAGATACAGAGCCTTGCAAAAGTATTCATCCCCCTTGGCGTTTTTCCTATTTTGTTGCGTTACAACCTGTAATTTAAATTGATTTTTATTTGGATTTAATGTAATGGACATTCACAAAATTGTCCAAATTGGTGAAGTGAAATAAAAAATAATAATAACGGAAAAGTGGTGCGTGCATATGTATTCACACCCTTTGCTATGAAGCCCCTAAATAAGATCTGGTGCAACCAATTACCTTCAGAAGTCACATAATTAGTTAAATAAAGTCCACCTGTGTGCAATCTAAGTGTCACATGATCTGTCACATGATCTCAGTATATATACACCTGTTCTGAAAGGCCCCAGAGTCTGCAACAGCACTAAGCAAGGGGAACCACCAAGCAAGCGGCACCATGAAGAACAAGGAGCTCTCCAAACAGGTCAGGGACAAAGTTGTGGAGAAGTACAGATCAGGGTTGGGTTATAAAAAAATATCAGAAACTTTGAACATCCCATGGAGCACCATTAAATCAATTATTAAAAAATGGAAAGCATATGGCACCACAACAAACCTGCCAAGAGAGGGCCACCCACCAAAACTCACGGACCAGGCAAGGAGGGCATTAATCAGAGAGGTAATAAAGAGACCATAGATAACCCTGAAGGAGCTGCAAAGCTCCACAGCGGAGATTGGAGTATCTGTCCATAGGACCACTTTAAGCCGTACACTCCACAGAGCTGGGCTTTACAGAAGAGTGGCCAGAAAAAAGCCATTGCTTAAAGAAAAAAATAAGCAAACACGGGTGAATAGTTATGCACGCTCAAGTTTTCTGTTTTTTTGTCTTATTTCTTGTTGTTTCACAAAAAAATATATTTTGCATCTTCAAAGTGGTAAGCATGTTGTGTAAATCAAATGATACAAACCCCCCAAAAAATCTATTTTAATTCCAGGTTGTAAGGCAACAAAATAGGAAAAATGCCAAGGGGGGGTGAATACTTTCGCAAGCCACTGTAGACTATACTGTCCGTGAAATGTATGGATAAGCTGGAAGTGGAAGCCTAAGTATTGTTGTCCATTAGTTTACTCCAATTAGGGGAGGGATGGTAGGGTTAGAGGAAAATAATAAATAATATAATAAAATAATATATATATTTACAGGAAAAATATATGGGGGATTGAACATGATGCAGACAGTTACATTGATAAAAGCCACAATCTATCTGCTAAAGCTGATATTAGCCAGATGACTCAAATGTCCATGTAATGGTACCAATAGGTACACTGAGAACCAGTTTATTAAACCATAGACGTTCAGCACCACTAACACGCACCATCCTGTATTCCAAACAGCAGATAAGCAGAATATCAGATCTGGGCCCGTATTTAAAAAGTGTCTCAGAGGAGGAGTGCTGATCCGGGTTCAGATACCCCGTCCATGTAATCGTATCCATTATTATCTAAACGGAAAAAACTGATCTTACTCTGAGACTCTTTGGGGGGGAATTCCGACCTGAGTTAAGCGCACGTAAATGTAATGTAATTACCTTTTTATGCACTTTTATCTCTGTGTATTCTGACCTTGAACTGAAGCATGAGAATAGCATGCTATTCACCCGCTATTCATTTAGGGGTGGAGATCAAAGAAATGAAGTCGTGGCAGAGGTGTGTCTAAAGATACACCGTGTTCTGACCTTGACTTAATTCCCTCATTACCTCATTCTACCACCTTTATGTAGTATGAAACAATGAATAAGGTCGAGCAACCTGTCGGTTCCAAGCGGAACAACATCTACTTTATTTTTTCTGATAGAAATAACATCATTCTCCATGCACTGTAATTTACAAAACTGATAAGAGCTATTGATAAGAGCTAGGTAAATGAGTAAGCTGTTTGGATAAGGGGATTGTAAATATAAATGACAATTGTTTTAGATCTATTTTACCTTATGATTGCTGGAGACAAATGTGAAACCAGTCATATGGCAGCAAACTGAAACATATCAACATATCAGCTTTTCCACAGTGAAGTTTATGAAATGCTGGCCTTGTAACTTGGGATGAAATGTGGAGACCCAAGCTATAGGCTTCTGTAGCCATGCACAAATGACAGTATAGCACCAAACCTACCAAGTTGATTTATGATTTCTAGAATGTTTTAATTATATGCCCAGACTTTTCAGTGTATTTTTTACATTTGGTATCTTGTCACTGTCAGTTATACCTACATACATTTATAACTGTCACTGACTTTAGTGTTAGTTTCCTTACATTTTGCATCATTCCATTACATCGTTAGCTTACCTTTCTTTCCTCTGTCACGTTCGTGTGGTTGTTCCTGAGGATCGCTAGCAATAGTGGATTATATCAGGCTAACGTGTTACAAGTTGTGCAATAATTTGGGACATGTAGCCTATTTGAATCATTATGGAACGCAGACCATAGTTAGCAGTTTAAACCTGGAGCCTGGCGCACGGTTCACAACAACTGGACAGTTGTCATCACACTTCAATGATTAGTGAGGATTATTAGGGTAGATTTATAGGACTACTGTTCAGCCCCTATTGTACACTTTTCTCACCTTCCAATATTTAATGGATTGAACAATTTAATATGGTAACTTTCAGGATCAATCAAACCACTGTATTTTTGATTCACCAATATATTCTCCAAACCTGTTTTATTGTATTTATTATTCATAAATACTTTCCTAACCCTAAATAATATACAAGATCAGGGTATTTTGAAATCTACCAATTGGTACTGAAAAGGAGATGAATATGCGTGTATTTAGATGGCTTTCTTTCATTGATCCCTAATATTCTGAACCGTTCTCTCCATATATTCTAGTGAGTCTGTCAAGAAAATTCTAATTAAAGGTACACCAAATTTAATGGGATGGATTTAAATAAATATACTGAAAACCCTATTGAATGAAAAATCCACGAGAAAATCTGTTGGCCAGCAAATGGGAGGATTTCACAAACAGTTAAATTACATTTATTCAGCGTGCAAGGGAACCACACCTGCATAAGGTAAGTCTGAATACCAACTACTGAGAAGTGCGGAGGAAAGGCATAGAACAGGCGTATATTTCCTAAGTCTGAATCGGGACCTTTGTGAATATTGGCCACGAAAAACAAATGATTGGCTCAATTATTAAACCATACATGCCGTTCTTTAACTCACCTCATCTCCTGGGTCGAAACCCCCCAAAAATATACAAAATAAAAACAAACTCAAAAAATCCAAGTGCCGCCCAAATAAAAATAATATATAAGCACATGAGTTTCCTTCAAACGAGCTCCAACACTGTCTGCCTGTTTTCCTCCATCTCCTGAGTGAAAAACTCCAACGCAATACAAAATAGTCACAAACAAAAAAAAAATCTAATGGCCAACAACATAAAAATGTCAACCCTTTATGTGGGATCCAGCAACCCAAATAATATAGTGTATTTCTCTGTTTTACTCCACCAGCTAACTGTATGTAATGTTGTCTCTGGCTGGAGCAGCCTACTACTTTTAATATCTAATCGATTAAATCAATCAATCGATTACTATCTCACCAGGGTCTCTTTACCCAGAAGAGAGATAAAGAGGATGAAGTCAGCCCAACATCAGCAACATGTTAGTCCATCTATCCATTCACACCAAGCCACACAGTCAAAGACTGGCCTCATAGGTTCCCAGAATCAGGTATTTATCTACTGCTCTGTCCTTACCTGTGAGCCTACGGTCACAATGAAGCACTTCCTCTGTTATCGTCAGCTTCCTTCACACTGGACTGTGGTCAGTCACACAACCGGGATGTCTAATGCTGTGAATAGAGTGGGGTTGGATGCTGGGTGTGAGAGTGTGTGTGTGTTTGTGTGTGTGTGTGTGTGTGTGTGTGTGTGTGTGTGTGTGTGTGTGTGTGTGTGTGTGTGTGTGTGTGTGTGTGTGTGTGTGTGTGTGTGTGTGTGTGTGTGTGTGTGTGTGTCAGCCAATCACTGGGCCTGAGAGAGATTTAAGAGAAGGTGCTCTGGGCATTACAGTGGGACCAAACAGAAATAGCTCAGGGATCCTAAGAGGATCTACAGGAATTAGAGACCTGTACCGAGATCTAAATAACCATATAAAACCATATAAAAGGAGAGAAAGAGAGCAATGGAGAAAATACAGAGAGAGAGAGAGAGAGAAGAGACAGATGAAGAGAGATGATATGGATAAAGATAAATGATCAAGGGAGATTGAGAGAAATGGAGGATATGAGACACAGCCACCCTAAGAACCCAACTCTGATTTTCTATCTATATCCAATATCTTTTTCTGACTGTCCACAGTCAGTTTTACATGTGACCCATATGAGATTTGTGCATTCACACCGATGTAGCCTCTGAAGTAGCACACAGATGCAATGCTCATTTGCTGCCACTGGTTCCTTTAAATGTTGGGGTGGTTGTCGTGGTAATAGCAGGTCATGTGCCCAAAGAAAAACATCTCATCTGAGTGTCCAAACAGAGGTTGCATTTGGAGGATCGGATTTGTACCAGGATTCAGATCCACATATGGAGGTGGTATAAATCCGAAGTCAAAAGATCAGATTCCATGTGTTTATTTGCTGTTTACACATTAGGGAAATGATCAGATAGGTATCAGATATGCAAATAATTGGTAAAAGATCTGAATTGGGCTGCCTGTGTAAATGCTGCCTATGTGGTCAATACCTGAGCCATATAGGCTGCATTTAAACAGCCAGACCAATTCTTATCGTTTTTACAATAATTGGTCTTTTGACCAATCACATCAGATATTTTCATATCAGATCTTTTTCAGAGCTGATCTGATTGGTTAAAGTCCTGTGTAGCTCAGTTGGTAGCACATGGCGCTTGCAACGCCAGGGTTGTGGGTTTGATTCCCACGGGGGGCCAGTATGAAAAAAAAATATGTATGCACTCACTAAATTACTAAAATGTCTGCTAAATTACTAAAATGTAAATGTTAAAGGACCAATTCGTGGAACAAAATATCAGAATTTGGCTGCCTGTGTAAACGCAGCCATATAGGCCTCAAGATATGGACACAGTCTGTCTCATTGACAGACTCCTTGACATAAGTTGCAAGCAGGAATTAGCTGTGATCTGATGTAAAACAAAATTTAGGCCTACAGATCAATGAGTTCAACCATAGCCTAGCATTTGTTTTTCTAATCACACATGACGTCAAAAACAGACATTTATTTATCCATAGTTTACAATAGCCTATCAGACAACTCACGGACGTCTTTTAAAAATATTTTTTCAGAACCTTTTCGTGGCTGCATGAGTTCTACAGCTTGTTGAAACAACTTCTCTCTATCAAAGTGCACTCAATTAAAACACCCAGCATTGTTTTGTCACCGGGTGCAAATTGTTAATTGAGCACATTTGTCAGACTGCCACGAACAGCTCGAAAATGATGATTCAAGGTTTTTAATGTGTAGGCCTATTCTTAATATAAAATGAAATGTCTAGGGGGCAATCCACAAGTAGGTCTGTCTTAATAAAACACAATTTTCCACCACCATGCTATGGTGGCTAATGCTACTTCCTGATTTTGAGGACCACATCAGAGAGGAAGAGGCGAAGCGAGAGGGTTTACTCCCGTGAAAATCTATCCACGATAAGCAGACCGATAAGCAGACCGCCTGCCTTCCTGCCTTTGGGACGACTCCCATTGTTAGGACGGAGACAAGACCATCTCATATATATATATATATATATATATATATATATATATATATATATATATATATATATAGTATCTCTGACCACATTCAGCCAGGGTTAAATAACAAGAGTCACACGGTGTGCAACATCTGGAAGTTGTCAGAAAATCTGAAATTGCTGGAAAATGTGTTTTATTAAGACAGTATGCATATTTTCCCCGTTTTCTTTCACCGACGGGCCATTAAATCGAGTTAAGGAGGAAACCGATGCCTTTGCAGCCTTAATGGAGGATGTTTTATGTACAAACTGGTTGCCGGGGGACACCACCCGGGCACATACAGTGGGGAAAAAAGTATTTAGTCAGCCACCAATTGTGCAAGTTCTCCCACTTAAAAAGATGAGAGACGCCTGTAATTTTCATCATAGGTACACGTCAACTATGACAGACAAAATGAGAAAAAAAAAACAGAAAATCACATTGTAGGATTTTTTATGAATTTATTGCAAATTATGGTGGAAAATAAGTATTTGGTCAATAACAAAAGTTTCTCAATACTTTGTTATATACCCTTTGTTGGCAATGACACAGGTCAAACGTTTTCTGTAAGTCTTCACAAGGTTTTCACACACTGTTGCTGGTATTTTGGCCCATTCCTCCATGCAGATCTCCTCTAGAGCAGTGATGTTTTGGGGCTGTCGCTGGGCAACACGGACTTTCAACTCCCTCCAAAGATTTTCTATGGGGTTGAGATCTGGAGACTGGCTAGGCCACTCCAGGACCTTGAAATGCTTCTTATGAAGCCACTCCTTTGTTGCCCGGGCGGTGTGTTTGGGATCATTGTCATGCTGGAAGACCTAGCCACGTTTCATCTTCAATGCCCTTGCTGATGGAAGGAGGTTTTCACTCAAAATCTCACGATACATGGCCTCATTCATTCTCTCCTTTACACGGATCAGTCGTCCTGGTCCCTTTGCAGAAAAACAGCCCCAAAGCCTGATGTTTCCACCCCCATGCTTCACAGTAGGTATGGTGTTCTTTGGATGCAACTCAGCATTCTTTGTCCTCCAAACACGACGAGTTGAGTTTTTACCAAAAAGTTCTATTTTGGTTTCATCTGACCATATGACATTCTCCCAATCCTCTTCTGGATCATCCAAATGCACTTCAGACGGGCCTGGACATGACGGGCCTGGACATGTACTGGCTTAAGCAGGGGGACACGTCTAGCACTGCAGGATTTGAGTCCCTGGCGGCGTAGTGTGTTACTGATGGTAGGCTTTGTTACTTTGGTCACAGCTCTCTGCAGGTCATTCACTAGGTCCCCCCGTGTGGTTCTGGGATTTTTGCTCACCGTTCTTGTGATCATTTTGACCCCACGGGGTGAGATCTTGCCCCAGATCGAGGGAGATTATCAGTGGTCTTGTATGTCTTCCATTTCCTAATAATTGCTCCCACAGTTGATTTCTTCAAACCAAGCTGCTTACCTATTGCAGATTCAGTCTTCCCAGCCTGGTGCAGGTCTACAATTTTGTTTCTGGTGTCCTTTGACAGCTCTTTGGTCTTGGCCATAGTGGAGTTTGGAGTGTGACTGTTTGAGGTTGTGGACAGGTGTCTTTTATACTGATAACAAGTTCAAACAGGTGTCATTAATACAGGTAACGAGTGGAGGACAGAGGAGCCTCTTAAAGAAGAAGTTACAGGTCTGTGAGAGCCAGAAATCTTGCTTGTTTGTAGGTGACCATATACTTATTTTCCACCATAATTTACAAATAAATTCATAAAAAATCCTACAATGTGATATTCTGGATTTGTTTTTCTCAATTTGTCTGTCATAGTTGACGTGTACCTATGATGAAAATTACAGGCCTCTCTCATCTTTTTAAGTAGGAGAACTTGCACAATTGGTGGCTGACTAAAAACTTTTTTTCCCCACTGTATCCAGAAGATAGTGGAGATTATTGTCCACTATCGGCTGTCCAGGCTATAAAATAGACAGCTATTTAGTCTGCAACAGGAGTTGAAAATTATGTTGAATTAAACCTATTGTAAATAGACATATAGCATACATATTTGTATTCTATTCTATTTTAATTTGTATATTCTATAATAAAAAATAAAAAAAGATTTGTCATTTGTGTATGAAGTAGTATAGCTTAATAAAAATGTAATTAATTTAGAAAGAAAAATATTATATTTGGCAATGAGTTAAAAGAGTTAAAAGTGACTCAAGCAAAAACACCAGTATCCCAAGATGAACTTAATTTGGGTGAAAAGCATTCTGCTCTGGAATTCCCAAATCTTGCAGGCAAACGACTTCACACGAACTGCATAAAAGCGGGAAACTTTCAAAGGGCCAAGCACCGCCAGCTAAAACCACGGAAATGTTCAAAGCGCCAAGCAACGTCAGCTACAACCACGGAATGTGCGGTAGGGCCTAACGCCTTTTCATGACTCTTGATTACATTGGACATGAAAATTGCCCTTGATTTGAACGCTGCTGTCTCACAAAAGCATCCAAATAACACGAACCGCTGGAGATGAGACATTCGTGTAGGAGATAGTGAGAAATAATAGAGCCCTATGGAAGGTCACATGATGCTGTGGATGCTGAGCCATCTGTTAATGACGCCTCACTAATTCATCCTGCTAAAGAGTCACTAATGATCACATGTGAGGAAAATAGTGTGTGGAGATGAAAGTGGCACCTACTAACTACAGGTTGTGTGTGTGTGTGTGTGCGTGTGTGTGTGTGTGTGTGTGTGTGTGTGTGTGTGTGTGTGTGTGTGTGTGTGTGTGTGTGTGTTATTGATCTGATTATCATAAAATGGCTCTTAGTTTTTCATCTTACATGAACAATGATTGAAGACCTGTATATTTGTACCTACACAAAACAAACACTATTATACACCACATAAACATCAAAACACATGATGAAAGCTTTACACCACACCATTATGTTATGTCATGCCATTAATTAGTCATTTCTAATTCAAGCATTGCTGAATTACTGCAGAGCAACATGTAGGCCTACCTGTAGACACCTTGGTCACCTGAGGAACACCTCATCTGGCCTACTGGCCTATATAGCGGCAGTATTCAGGGCTGTTTCTGTGTATTTATTGGCTTAAAAGCTTATTGGACTCTATTTTCACGTGGGTGCACTAGGAACACGTCAGATCGACATAAAGGGTTTGGGTTCTGTAAGTTATCCAGTGAGAATAGATTACCTCAGTGTAAAGCACATTGCATATGGGTCATTATCAATAAAACGTCACAATAAGGTGTAGAGCGTTCGATTTCCCTGCTGGGGGGCGAGGAGACTCACAGCTCCGCTAAAACCACTGACAACTGCGTGCCGTTTTCAAGGGATTGTTATATAAATGTGAACTATTTGGTTCCAATACCATCACCTCTTGAACAGCATAGTTAAAACTACACATTCCATGCAAAACAATTGCGCACATTTAGCTCTATTATCAGTTATACAGAAAGTAATTGCTTTTGATGATCAATAAACATCAACTGATTATGTAATTTGTGTGAAGTAAAATGAAGGTTGCCTCAAGATATCTCTCAATATTGGCCACCATAAATTAGATATTTAAGTGATATAAAATAAAAATGAACTTTAACTGACAAGCATGAGTGGTTTAGGTTAATTTCCCATCCTTTATGGGCTCTGCCTGTCAAGCAGCAGAAGGGCGCAATTGCCGATGTACTGTTAGATGATAATGTTTAGTTTGCAAGCTACCAGCAGAAACTTTGTACAGTTGGCTGAACATAGTGGTAAATTGACCTAATGTAGCCTACTTTTTTCTCCAACCAATGTTTAGCCTACCTAGCGAAGTTAGCTAACATTATCCCCTTTTCAACATTGTTTTTAAGAGTGTTCAATCACGATTGCTGCTGAGATGATAGGCTACATTGATTGATGGACCACGTCAAATTGGCTAGCTAACGTCAAAATGGCTAGTTAACAAGCTAACTTTCAGGGGATAAACTAGATGGCTATATTTGCTTGCCATCTATAATGGTGATTACAGTAGTCCGACTGACAATTTTACCTGGACGAGGACCTGCCAATGTCAAGCTCTTTCCAAAAGCCTAATGAAGCAAGCTAACGTTAAATGACACATGTTGTTTGCTTAGCTAGCTATGCCAAATGTGTAGGCTACCCTCACGTATCTGAAAATACATGATCAATTGATGTTTACTGATCACGAAAAGCATGCAGTTACTTGCTGTATAACTCTGCTGATAGAGCTAAATGTGGAATAATCGGAAATGTGTAGTTCTGACTATGCTCTTCAAGCGGTGATGATATTAAAACCAAATAGTATTTAACAATCCCTTGAAAACGGCACTTAGGCCTATTTGGCCCCACCCCACCCCCCAGCAGCCAAATGGAACACTCTGCACGTGTTGTGAAATGTTATTTATAATGACCTATAGAGTATTTTATTAGCAAAGACCTTTCCACGATTACAGGAATAGAAGGCTTATACAGGTGTCAAAGCTATTCTGAGTATAGTGGCTTGCGAAAGTATTCAACCCCTTTGTCATTTTTCCTATTTTGTTGCCTTACAACCTGGAGTTAAAATGGATTTTGGGGGGGGTTGTATCATTTAATTTACACAACATGCCTATCACTTTGAAAATGCTAAATATATTTTTTTGTGAAACAAACAAGAAATAAGATAAACTGAAAACTTGAGCGTGCACATCTAGCCACTGGGATTTTTGCCCATTCTTCAAGGCAAAACTGCTCCAGCTCCTTCAAGTTGGATGGGTTCCGCTGGTGTACAGCAATCTTTAAGTCGTACCACAGATTCTCAGTTGGATTGAGGTCTGGGCTTTGACTAGGCCATTCCAATACATTTAAATGTTTCCCCTTAAACCACCCACGTGTTGCTTTAGCAGTATGCTTAGGGTCATTGTCCTGCTGGAAGGTGAACCTATGTCCCAGTCTCAAATCTTTGGAAGACTGAATCAGGTTTCCCTCAAGAATGTCTCTGTATTTAGCGCCATCCATCATTCCTTCAATTCTGACCAGTTTCCCATTCCCTGCCGATGAAAAACATCTCCACAGCATGATGCTGCCACCACCATGCTTCACTGTGGGGATGGTGTTCTTGGGGTGATGAGAGGTGTTGGGTTTGCGCCAGACATAGCGTTTTCCTTGATGGCCAAAAAGCTCAATTTTAGTCTCATCTGACCAGAGTACCTTCTTCCATATGTCTTTGGAGTCTCCCACATGCCTTTTGGCGAACACCAAACCTGTTTGCTTAATTCTTTCTTTAAGCAATGGCTTTTTTCTGGCCCAGCTCTGTGGAGTGTACGGCTTAAAGTGGTCCGATGGCCAAAAAGCTCAATATTAGTCTCATCTGTACCTTCTTCCATATGTTTGGGGAGTCTCCCACATGCCTTTTGGCGAACACCAAACGTGTTTGCTTATTTTTTTCTTTAAGCAATGGCTTTTTCCTGGCCACTCTTCCGTAAAGCCCAGCTCTGTGGAGTGTACAGCTTAAAGTGGTCCTATGGACAGATAATCCAATCTCCGCTGTGGAGCTTTGCAGCTCCTTCAGGGTTATCTTTGGTCTCTTTGTTGCCTCTCTGATTAATGCCCTCCTTGCCTGGTCCGTGTGTTTTGGTGGGTGGCCCTCTCTTGGCAGGTTTGTTGTGGTGCCATATTCTTTCCATTTTATAATAATGGATTTAATGTTGCTCCATGGGATGTTCAAAGTTTCTGATATTTTTTTATAACCCAACCCTGATCTGTACTTCTCCACAACTTTGTCCCTGACCTGTTTGGAGAGCTCCTTGTTCTTCATGGTGTCGCTTGCTTGGTGGTGCCCCTTGCTTAGTGGTGTTTCAGACTCTGGGGGCTTTCAGAACAGGTGTATATATACTGAGATCATGTGGCACTTAGATTAAACACAGGTGGACTTTATTTAACTAATTATGTGACTTCTGAAGGTAATTGGTTGCACCAGATCTTATTTAGGGGCTTCATAGCAAAGGGGGTGAATACATATGCACGCACCACTTTTCCGTAATTTTTTTTTTTCATTTCACTTCACCAATTTGGACTATTTTGTGTATGTCCATTACATGAAATCCAAATAAAAATCAATTTAAATTACAGGTTGTAATGCAACAAAATAGGAAAAACGCCAAGGGGGATGAACACTTCTGCAAGGCACTGTACATGACAATACAGTATGATTATAGCAAGTTATTCTGGTATATAGTCCCACGTTACTGGGATGGTAGTATGACCAGACCGTAACTAGCCTACATATGAGGACACCGTAAGTATACATAAAAAAATATATATATATATATATTGTACACAATAAAGAAAATCAATTATGGGTCAACATCTAAATATTGCTCACAGCATTGTTCAAAACTCAGAATGCTTATATTCTTGATCTGACAAGTGGAATCATGAACAGTGGTTTGTTTGTTATGTTCGCCTGCGTCCCCCGGATTTACCTCCCAGATTTGCCTTTTTAGCATCACATTCACCACTCTCTCAGCCCGCAATTCAGGGCGTTCCTTCATGTGGGCATTCCTGCACCTTCCTGCCAAACACCTGCCCTCACCATCGTTAACATAACTGCGGGAAAACAGTGCCCGACAGGCGGGGACGAAGTACACTGTCTACCGGTCGCCCCCACATCCTGCAATCACTGCAGGCGGGAGCGACACCATCTGCTAGCTAACTAGCTAGGTCGTTAGCGATATCGCTAACCTATCGCTAGCACAGCAGGTGGGAGGATTGGGGGACACGGTGTCACCCCCACCTTCCTGCTGTGTACCGGCGAAAACCGTGCACGACAGGCGGGGGCGAAGGACACTGTCTACCGTTCAGCCCCGCCTCCCGCTAGCAAAGCTAACTAACTAGCTTGCTAGTTAGGGACACCATGTGCTAGCTAGCTAGCATGATAGTTAGATTCTGTAGTTAGCACACTCCCGCCTACCGAACACCTGTACTCGCCGTCGTTAACAGAACTGTGGGAAAACATTGCCCTATAGGCGGGGATGAAGGACACTGTCACTGTCTACCGGTGTACGGCTAGCTAGCTAGCATTCTTGCCTTCGCCCCTTCTTCTGTGGGGTTTATATTCTGCATTAACGCAATTTACTGTACTGGAGCGCCCCCGCCTCCCACTTGTCCTAGCTTAAAAATGGACCAATAGAAGTATAAAAAGGGGTTCCTGCAGATGCAGGAATGACCACATGCAGGAACGCCCCGAAAGGCAGGCAGCATTTGCACCCTCTTCAACACCGCCCTCTCGCGGCACAGGCCAAGGGCCTGAGACGTGAAACAAACTACCCCAGTTGGTTCAACTACTCTGCTAAAAAAAAAAAAAAAAAAACTGTTTTAAAACTGTCCCGTGACTCCTGCCTTGTTTACAGACATCCCCCAAACAAACAAAAAACAACTCTCGGAGAATGAGTGCACAACTGGTAAATAGTCGCTTATAGATATGTCAGTCAGGTGGCTAGCTGCAGGCAGACTTATATCAAAGACAGTACAGTATGAGGATAGGCTAAAACTGCTTCTCCAATAGAAATCCCTGATCACACTTGTAGACAATGTCATGGCGACGTTTGCTAGCTAAGCTCATGAGTAGAAACTTAATCGAGTCTAACGGTCATCTCGCGCCGAAATGCGCATGTGCAGGCCGTCAAATCAAAGGCACTCCTTCGATATAAAGTTGTTTTTGACAAAAATGAAAACATGCCAGTTTGTCACTTTCACGAGGTTGGAGTAATAACATGTTCAATTACTTAAGACATTGGTTCAAATCTAGGTTGTGCCTTTAGATTTCGATAAAATTAACAACTAAGGAAGAATGTTTCACTTCTCTTATTGACTTCTAAATCCCAAAACCCCGGCCTGGTCTGTTTCGTCTGTTACGCAAGCATCTCGCGATGAAACTCGATGTGCTCCTATTGCAGTAACGTTGAAGGGCTCAGGCTAGTATTACTTAGCCAGGTAGAAGGATGAAGTAAGAAGCTAGAGCTAACGTTAAATTTAGCCTACCTCAGCAGGAGCAAAAACTATGCTACTAAGTTCTCATAATAACGTTGGTTTACAGAGAGTAGGCTACTGAGACAGACAGTGACGTGACACACAGTGGTGTGGCTGAGGCAGGCTGCAATGCATGCAGGAGGAAACAGAGGAGACAGAGAGAGAGAGGATGCAGGCAGAGGCAGAGGTTAGTACAGTGGTTCCCAAACTTGGTGTCGGGCCCCATGTGGGGTCCCCTGAGAAAATCTGTACTAATATTATCAAACAAGTTAGGAACTTAAAAGAAAGAAGATATGTTTCATTATGAACATCTGAACATGGCCTAGATCAAATTTTATTGGTCGCAAAAACATATTTAGCAGATGTTATTGCGGGTGTAAGTGAAATGTTTGTACAGGCCGACATTCAAATGCAATCAACATACAAACAATACAGTTCTAAAAATGTCCTACGTTTTAGTTTCAACGCTGATGCTACGTGTCATTTCTCATATGTCCCCCTTTCAGGGGTATAGCATTACAGCTGTATAGCTAATAGGCTGTGTGTTTGTAGATCGACTGAGCTGAATGAACCTACAGCAGCCAAGGTGATAAGGCTGGGGTAATTTTTGCTTGTTTTTGCTGTTCTCCAAATAGCATTTAAAAAATATATATATAAAATTCAAAACCCTGGTTACGGCCATGTGTAAGACCTCCTCATCACCCTGACCAGCAGTTTGAAAACAACAACAAAAGGATGTTTTGTGGATGGTTTTGTGGAGATAACATGTGGTAGTTTTTATTATTATGTTATTTATTATTATGGTACATATTTCAGCTGGTTTCAAATCAGCTCTTTTTGGATTTACATAATGCACTTCATAATTATGGGGCAAAGTCACCTCATCCACCACCAATGTATACTGTAGCATCCACCTGGGTAATCCCCCCGAAAGCTCATCACACATCAGTAGCCTAATCACAGTTGGGAGGTGAGGAGTGAACATGCATTTCCCTCTGTAAACACTAGAGGGCAGCCTTGTTCAGCTGTCAGTCACAATCCTATTTAAATGTTATGGCCCATCCCATAAAATGTCTACACCAGCCAGGCATTAAGAAAGGACTTGTCAAATCCGATCACGACCATATTACAATCCAACCACAGGATTTGCATCCACACCTGATAATAATATGTGTCCTTTTTTCACATCTCATGCCTCCATGCCATGATAACATGTCTCATGGTATTTACATGTATCCTCTTCTTTCTTCAGCCTCACTCTATTCTCTAGTCCCAACTTTCTTCACTTGTTGTCACTGATTACCCAAGCCCTTTGTCTGTATCCAGCCCATTGAGAGTCCGGAGAAGGAGAGGGAGGTGGAGAGAAAGAAAGCGATAAGGGGAATGAGAGCAAACAAGATATTAAACAACATACCAGGTAAACAAGGGATGATGACAGTAAAGTGCACACAAGACATACAGAAAAACAGACCTTTAATTGGAATGAGATTGGTCCTCTTTGGGTATGAGAGTTCTGTTGTTTTTCTAAGAACTGAAATCGGAATTTGGAATTTGAAATAGCTGAGCATGAGGAGAATACCACAAATTAGTGTCAAGGTTTGACATTCCGCTGTAGCGTTTAACCATGAAAACATGTATTGTTTTCCTCTGATAACAACAGATCCTGTTGTGCAGGGTATGGCACTAGACATTGAAGTTCTGACATTTTCCTATCTGTGAAGTGAGTGGACAGTAAAGGCCATCTAGCTGATAAGTGATGGCGCAGTCAAAGGTGCAGTTCTATCTGCGTAGTGATGGGCCAGTCTAAAGTGCCAGTCATCAGCTGATAGTGATGTACCATCTAAAGGCCATTTATCTGTGATATGAGGCACTTAAGGTGCCAGTTCTTTGTGTATGATGGACAGTCTAAAGGTGCCTTTCTATCTGCTGAATGGATGGACATCTAAGGCAGTCTATCGCTGAAGTGATGGCACATAAGCCAGTCTATCTGATAGTGATGGCACAGGTCTAAGATGCCAGTCTATTGCTGATAGTAGGCACAGTCTAAAGCCAGTCTATCTGCTGATAGTGTGGCCCGTTAAAGCCAGTTCTATCTGCTGTAGTGATGGCACCAGTCTAATGGTCAGTTCACTTGATAGTGATGGTACCATCTAAGTGCATCTATCTGCTGATAGTGATGGCACCAGTCTAAAGGTGCCAGTTCTATCTGCTGATAGTGATGGCGCCAGTCTAAAGGTGCCAGTTCTATCTGCTGATAGTGATGGCCAGTCTAAAGGTGCCAGTTCTATCTGCTGATAGTGATGGCACCAGTCTAAAGGTGCCAGTTCTATCTGCTGATAGTGATGGCACCAGTCTAAAGGTGCCAGTTCTATCTGCTGATAGTGATGGCACCAGTCTAAAGGTGCCAGTTCTATCTGCTGATAGTGATGGCACCAGTCTAAAGGTGCCAGTTCTATCTGCTGATAGTGATGGCACCAGTCTAAAGGTGCCAGTTCTATCTGCTGATAGTGATGGCACCAGTCTAAAGGTGCCAGTTCTATCTGCTGATAGTGATGGCACCAGTCTAAATGTGCCAGGTCCGAGGACACACTGGTTCTTATTAATATATTCTGTGAGAATGTGTGGTTCACTACCTTGCGTTGTGTCTTTTATTATGTGTTTCCAGAACATACACTACCATTCAAAAGTTTGGGGTCACTTAGAAATGTCCTTGTTTTTGAAAGAAAATCAACAAAAAAAATCCATTAAAATAACATCAGTGTAGACATTGTTAATGTTGTACATGGCTATTGTAGCTGGAAACGGCAGATTTTTCTTTGCAACTCTGCCTAGAAGGTCAGCATCCTGGAGTCGCCTCTTCACTGTTGACAGTGAGACTGGTGTTTTGCGGGTACTATTTAATGAAGCTGCCAGTTGAGGACCTGTGAGGCGCCTGTTTCTCAAACTAGACACTCTAATGTATGCACCAGTCCCTCCTGCAGCAAAGCACCCCCACAGCATGATGCTGCCACCTCCGTGCTTTACGGTTGGGATGGTGTTCTTCAGCTTGCAACCCTCCCCCTTTTTCCTCCAAACATAACAATGGTCATTAGGGCCAAACAGTTCTATTTTTGTTTCATCAGACCAGAGGACATTTCTCCAACAAGTACGATCTTTGTCCCCATGTGCAGTTGCAAACAGTAGTCTGGCTTTTTTATGACGGTTTTGGAGCAGTGGCTTCTTCCTTGCTGAGCGGCCTTTCAGGTTATGTCGATATAGGACTTGTTTTACTGTGGATATAGATACTTTTGTACCTGTTTCCTCCAGCATCTTCACAAGGTCCTTTGCTGTTGTTCTGGGATTTATTTGCACTTTTCGCACCAAAGTACGTTCATCTCTAGGAGACAGAACGCGTCTCCTTCCTGAGCGGTATGAAGGCTGCGTGGTCCCATGGTGTTTATACTTGCGTACTATTGTTTGTATAGATGAATGTGGTACCTTCAGGCGTTTGGAAATTGCTCTCAAGGATGAACCAGACTTGTGGTGGTCTACCATTTTTTTTCTGAGGTCTTGGCTGATTTCTTTTGA